GTTGTAGAAATCAAAAACATATCTATTCAAGAAAAGGATTTAAATCTCTCAGAAAAATATGTGTATTCCTTAGAATTTCCATTTAAAAATCTCCAAATATCTTGTAAGTCCAACATGTCTTTCAGATCAAAGAATGTTAGGGGTAGTTTTCGTTGTTTAAGTCTCAGCCCCTTTGGGGACTTTGTCTTCCATTGGAGAAATCACCCCATTCCAATCACCCATAAGGCACCAATTCTCATATCGTAAGTCCATCAATTTGTCCATTAAGTTTTTATAAAATATCCCTTTATCCACATTTGGGGCATACAGTCCAACAACTAGTGTTTTAACCCCGTGTATACTAATTTCAACTGCCACATATCTTCCTCCGTCATCAGTCAAGATCAATTGTGGATTCAATTTTGATTGTATATACAAAACAACTCCTTTAGTCTTTTTTGGTCCAGCTGATATGAATTCTTCTCCAGTTTGTTTCTGAATTGTATATACAAAACAACTCCTTTAGTCTTTTTTGGTCCAGCTGATATGAATTCTTCTCCAGTTTGTTTCTGAATTGTATATACAAAACAACTCCTTTAGTCTTTTTTGGTCCAGCTGATATGAATTCTTCTCCAGTTTGTTTCTGAACCAAGTACTTAATGTCTTTTTTACAAATATGAGTCTCTTGCAAACAGATTATATTCAAGTTCCATTTCTTTAAAAGGTGAAAAATTTTCTTTCTTTTTTGAGGAGTATTTGCTCCATTTATATTCCAGGTAAAATATTTGTAATCTATAAGTATATTTGTATTAAAGTCTTTTATAATCCACTCCAGAAGCCCCAAGCTTTGTTAAATCCACACTAGTTTTGATATCTTTTGTAGTCTTTTCTTTTTCTTTTTCTTCTAATTCTTATGGGTATCGTGAAAGTCTACCTTATATTTTTCCAAAAAGGCTTCTGCCTTTAAAGTAGAGTTTATTCTAAATATTTGCTCTTTATACATAAAAGATACTCCTTCTAGTCTCTCCCATCTGAAAGAAATACCGTGTTAGTTTAATTTATCTGTGAAGAAGGAGTAATCCTTTCTTTTTCTCAAAATTCTTAAAGGTATTTCTTTTAGAACAATCACCCTTTTGCCTGCGATACTCAGTCCATCATTATAGTGTTTTTTCACAATTTGTTCTCTTGTAACCTTCCGTACAAAATGAATCAATATGTGTCTTGGGACCTTTTTTTCTCTAGCAAAACGTGAATTGACTCTATAAATTTTGTCTATTTCAGAATCTAGATCTTGTTCCTCCATCTCCAAAAATTGTGCTAATGCGGTAATGATGAATTTTCTTACATCTTCCCTGGGATTTTCCATTACTGACTTCAATCTCAATATAAATTCTTTCTCCCTCATTTCTGCTAATGCAATAGCATCCAAATTTCCATCAATATCTTTAGTGGCTGCTTCTGACTTAATTTCTAACAACTGTACCTGTCCTTGAGTATTCCTGAGGTCAGTTGACAAATTATCAACCACATCCTTCACTTTCTGGACCTCATTTCTAAATTCTTGAATCAATTCCTTTTTTAAGTTGTCTATTTTTTCATTCATTTTTGTGTCTCTTTGGTCCATTTGGTAGCTTAAGGCAGCAATTGCATCTAATACTTTTTTCATGTCTCCACCCCCCTCAACCGATTCTATAGAAGTTCGATTCTCTTTCCTTTTCCTTATCCTTCTTCCCTCTTGAAGCCATTGTAGACAGTGCAAAATTCAATATCTTCAAAGAACAACAATTATAACCCAATAGCAACAGCTTTCTTCCAAGTTCTCTAACAACACAGCAGTTATAATCCCAGCTATAGAAAGCTGTCTCTTATTGTTCCCAAATATAGATAAT